TCTCAGAAATCGGGCGCGTGAGTACACGCGCGGCGATTTCACCGATGAAAATCGTCCTCTAGATCTCTCCGGCGCAAATCCACCGCTTGCCTCTCCGGTTTCCGGCTTCAACCGGGGCCGCAAGAGGGCCTTCGTCCTCCCTTATTTCCAAATCGTTCGAAGAGCTTGTCCTTCTTTGATCCTCTAGATCTGATCTGCTTCTTACGGTGTGTTGGTCGGAGAGTCGCCGTCCGTGACGGCCACGTCATGGTTTGAGTTTCTTGGTTGTCGTCTCCTATGCTTGTCGTTGGCGAAGTGTCTCCGGTCAAGATTAGCTACTCTCTCCACTAGCCTCACGATGTACGACCGGCGTTGATCTACTTCAGATCCCCCTCCACCAAGGCGATTACGGCGATGATTTTGTTCGGTTTGACCCAGGAACGACGTCCAACGGTCGTGGCTAAACAATCTCTTCTCCTTAAGGTTTCGCAAACTCTCAAGTTTTCCTTGGAAGCTCCGCCGTGCTTAGGTCTTCCTTTGGTGGTGTGACTGCTTCTTCGTCGGCCTCCTCCGTTTGGGGATGGTGGTGGTTGCGGCGGAGAGCCGGTCTTTGGCCTCACCATGTCTTCCTTTGTGCTTTTCTTGGGTTGTCTCTCTGAGATTTTCGGTTGCAGGGGTTGTGGTTGCTACACCTTTTGGTCGTTGCCCTCACTGTTCCTCTGCTTCTTGGAGCCCCAATCTCTTAGCTTCCCCCTTCTATAGTTGATGCAGTTCACTGGTTCTGTTAGGTGGTCTACGGTTTTAACTTTGCTCGATGAGACTCGTGTATTGGAGTGCTTCTCTTTTGGTTATGGCCAAAGTCAGTTGTCATGCTCATTAGTTTTGTGTTTCAGTGTGGCATCGCGGGTGTGAAGGATTCGAGTTAGTGGATTCTGTGGTTTGCCTTGGTCCCTTATGATGGTGTAGATTTGATTTGGTACTGCCTTCGGTGGAGGATTTGTGTTGTGTCATTGGACTACATCGTTGTATTCTAGGTTCTATGGTTGCTGTCGAGCCTTGGTGTTGATTGTGTCTTCCTTGAAATGATGCTGCATTGATCGTTTGCTTGGCATTATCTTGGAGCTTTGAAGCCTTGTTGGGGTGCATTTAGAGGCCTAGTAAGACCAGTGGTATTCAGTGTTTTTCAATTATATATCCGACTTTGGACTAGCCAATGAAGTTGGTAGGGTGAGCCTGTACTGTTTGCTCCAATTGGTTTGCATGGTTCCTGTTTAGCGTTAGCTTATGGATTTGAGATTCAAGTCACTCTCACGCGATGCGAGAGGAGTCGGTGATCGAGGGCTGTGAAGTATCTGCCGTTGACGACCTTGGTTAGGGCCTGCTTTGACCGTCTTCTAATTGCTTATCCTTGAGTGTCTTCAGCTTCTCGAGCTCTGCTTTAGCAACTTTTGTTCGTCATCAGATTTTGGAGGAACATAAGACATCGTCATCACTTCGCATACTCCGTTTGCCACTGGTTGAACGTTGAGTCGCGGACTGAAAATCCACAAGTTTATGATTTTCATGTTTTTATATTTTTTGCCATGGATTTTATTGTCTAAGTTTATAATTCACTTTGTAAACCTAAAATTTATTCATTTTAAATGAAATATTTACCATTTAGCAAAAAAATGATAAAAAATTGACATAAATCTAAAGGTGCATGAAATGGAAAATGGACAGTATTAAGAAGCTAATTGGATGAGACCAAAACATATAATTTTGTGGTTTGTAGTTTATTGTTGTTATGTCACAATCTAAAGGATTAATTTGTTGAATAACCCAAAAAACAAATTATAACTCATAAACTAATCAAAAGTGTCATATGTGGCAAAATCATATCCCTTAGATCTAGGGCTTTTAGTTAGTTTTTGAGTTATAATTTTTTTTGGCTATTCTATAAATTAACCCCATCTAAATTTAAAATGCATGTTATTAAAAATGTTAGTTGGCTGAATAAGTAGTTTTACATTCTTTATAGAGATAAGATTATCATAGATTACAGACTTATACATTTGTTATAGGATCATAAATTGTAGTTTTGCATTCGTTATATGGTGATGATCATCACTAAAAACAGTATAACTTTCCATTAAAAATAAATTAAACTACATAGGTTGTTAATTAAAAACTTAAAAGCTTCCTGTTTGCAAATTTCTCTAAACCTAAATGAAGACAATAATCTGGACAAACATACTTAAAACAAATGGGGACAAATCAGACAAAATTGGCCAAAATTGTTTACAAAGATAATAATACAAGCATATAAAAACTTGTGGATAAATATAAAAATGAGGAAGACGACATTAATATCGGAGAATAAAATGTGGTGGTCATTGGTCAATTGCTCCTCCGACCGTTTTCTTGGTTTCCTTATCTTTTTACAAGCTCTGCCTTCCACCATTGGCCGATTTAAACAAATTTATAAACATAATAAATAATTGCAAACAGTCAGTTGGGGTGTGTGATTAGTTGAGTTGTAACTGTAGATTCAAGATTGTGCAATTTTAGTTGTGATGTATAGTAGTTGTGGTGGTTTCAGATTTTGTTGTTGTTATAGGCTTATAGCTATAACTTTATAGTTTAGTAGACCAAAGTTTAGTAGACAAGACTGTTTTTAAATTTAACATGGAATCTTCGGATTTTACCAAAACGTCGGACTAATATTTTAGCTAAAAATGCTATATAGTAAGAAACTTTATGTAGATTCATCATGAATGAAAATCATATGGACCAAATTTTAGTAAGTAAGTAAACCACACATAGTATTTGCATATGAACCCAAAAATGTAGCACTAAACAATAGGTCTTACAGATATCATTGTGCTTCTATGTGGATCAAAAAACAAAGTATTATTTTGGGAAAAAAAAACTAGAGTTATAATTTTTCTAGCAGGATTTTTTTAATTTATAGCCCTAGATTTTGGAAGA